GGAACCTCAACCAAGCTTAACAATCCAAATTGAATTATACTTTATCCAATCTTAGACCAATATCCATAAAAATTTCGCTTTAAATCAATTCGATTAACACGATACAATATTCTCCAAATCGATTCTGAATAGAGATTTTAAAATATCTTTAAAATTTTTATTCTATCTATTCTACTTACATACTTCTCCTCCTCATTTCACTTGGATCACAAATAAAAATTATACGAAACCTCGACCGATTTTCCTCTTGAGCGGAAGCCAAACATGGACGCGTCGATTTCCGGTTTGGCCATTGAACGATTTTCTTACACAGCACAGGTGAAGAAAACAACCGAATCGGCCGTATAAATATTCATCGGCCGATTTAAATTCATAACCGGGTACGCAAATCGACCGACTCGTGCTTTATTTTCTCGTGCACGTGTGCACGGAACGTGCGAACGAGAGAATAATCGAATCGCTTCGAGAAAAATGAAATTTCTCTCCTTGCCCTCCAACTCCTATCCTTTGCTCCCCGGTAATGGAGCAGGCAAGTTTTCCATTCCTCGATCGATTCTCCGTGTCGGAATATTTTTTTGATCTCCATTTTGATCTCGAAATATCTAAATTCGCGAGTAAAAAATTTTCTGTGGAGAAAATGGCAATTTTGCAAGTGCGATGTTTCGCAGAATATGCGAGTTATTTGCCCATCTCCCGAGTGTCGTCCGCTTAAACGGATCTAATTCTCGCCCCCCCTCAAAAAGTTTCACTCTCTAACGAGTAATTCCCTTAAATTCATTTAGACAGGAAATCTCTCGAATCCCGTGCGATTCCCTCCTCCTAGTCGAAAGCTATACCGTATATTACACCGTATAAATTTTACAGTTTCCCTCGTAAATTAGATCTTAACTCGAATCACCTTGAGAAATCGCTTTATCGATTCTTAAACTTGCAGTCATCATACATAATTATTGTTTTTATCAATTTTCTTCATCGTGCAAGATAAATATTAATTTCGTGTAATAATCAATGCTGTTAATTTAATTCGTTACTGGAATATAACTCCTTCGACGATCTTCGTCTATGTCAGATCGAAATCGATATTTATCGATTCTTAAACTTGTAGTAATCAAACATACGTAATTATTGTTTTTATCAATTTTCTTCATCACGTATCGTGCAGCATGAATATTAATTTCGTAATAATCAATGTAATAATCAATGCTGTTAATTTAATTCGTTACTGGAATGTAACTCCTTCGACGATCTTTGTTTATATCAGATCGAAATCATTTTAAAATTTAAAATTCGATCGAACTGTGCAGATTCGTGTCGATCATTTTGCGTGTGAACGAAACTTGAAAATACATCGATCACGTGCATCGTGCAAACAACGCGATTTGAAAAGAGAAGGTAAACAAGCGCAGGGAGCGTAAAGTGATCAGCGTGAACGTGATTAGCGGCATTGGTCGATCTTGGTTTTCGATGACAATGATGACGTGTGAATCGACGAATTACAATTTAATTTTGTGTAATTTTAATTTTTTAATTCTGTGTAAATTTGTCTCTGAGGAAGATCCTTTGTTCTGATCACTTTCGACATTTCGAGCATCCTCGAGATAAAACTTTTTTCGAGATTAATAACGAGTCGAAGCGTTTGAGATCCAACACTGCTTTCTCGAAAACTTTTAATTAATCGACGCGCAATCGTCGTTATTTTGCGCGTTGGATTAGACTCGATCGATAATACTGTTTTTCGGAGTGATCAATTTTTCTCTTCCCTCGCGATGAATTTTGGTTATAAAAATTTTTTCCAATTTTTTTTAGAGATTTTTATACCATATTTTCCTTTACTCGCAATTTTGTATAATACAAATTTATGCATTAAAATGAAATTTTATCAATTTTCGTAACTCTTCACCCGTTTTCTTATTACAAAAATGTACTTTCGCTCTTGTTAAATTATTCATTCCCGACCACCGATCTGCTCGAAACTATTAATTTATACGCTGAACGAGTACAAAATTCAAATTCTTGATTAAATTACACGATAATATAAATTCGCATTATCAGAAACTGAATTATGATTAACCATCGAATATTACGAATGTACGTGTATAAAAATCTTCGAATTCAGGAGGAAACTTAAATTAAAAAAAATCTCTTTCTATCTCCAAACGACGGGATTAAAACGAGAACGGGACGAAAGTTTAAATTGAATTGGAGGAAAGAGGAAGGGTATTTTTTACAAATGGGAATATCATGGATTTACACGAGTCTACGGAGGATCGCTTTTCGCGAAACGATCGTTCCCAAGCGGTTAATATTATCGGCGAGAACGGTCGTATATACACATTAGAGCGCAATTGTTTTCGCCTGGTAGGCGAACCACTGGCAATTATTAATTTTCTCCCGAGCGAATAGGGCACGTGGTGGTGTCGTCCCATAAGTGCTCAGCGTAAAATGTGATCACGTTGCATATGGGCGTGAAAATTGTAATTAATATACGTGGGTGGATCGATTCGTTTTGAAGATTTGAAATTGTATCTGTTTGTGTGACGTAATCAGAAATTACAATTAACGATATGCATATATATTATATATATTACATATATAATATTCCAGATACAAATTCATTTATTGGATTGATTAAGAAGTATGGAGAGCAATCCTCTGGAGAGGAAATTGCAATTGTTCATAATATTGCACATGTTGTTGTGAAATTACGTACATATTTTTTCGACGACTCTCGATTTGAGATTTGCGGAATTTCGAAATAATTCGCTTGTTTGCTAGGGAAATTAGAAAAGTTTCAAAAACTTTGAGTTATCACGTTGTTTACTGTCCGAGATCCTTAAATTGCGAGCAATATGGAAGCAAAATTTCAACCTTTCCTTTCGAAGTAGAAATCCTTTCAAAAATTTTGAAAGGAATTTTGAAAATTGCTAAATCGAGATATCAACGCAGGATATGAAAAATTAATAAAATTGTTATATAAAAAATATTACATTATATAAAATATATATATTATATAAAAATTATTATATAAAATCATATAGCAAAAAAATTTCAGGAAACGGAGTCTTTTCAAGGGGACGGGGTTCTCTTCTCCATTTCGGGGAACGAACAACCGAACAATTATGGCCGAGCTCGACGAACGTTATTATTCCAATCATCCCATCACCCGAGGGATGCTTGATTCCAATTGATCGTATCGCGGCGTCGGGCAAATAAAATCCGATTTGCATCGGTGTTTTCCCGGAAAAGGTTTGGAAAGGGGGTGGGGAGGGGATGTAGAGAGAGAGAGAGAGAGAGAGAGGGAGAGATGGGTCGCGTTGTCAAACCGCGAGCACCGCGTTACGCGTGGTTCACGCGGCGTGAAACGAACGTGGCTGGGATTTGAAACCCCCCTCTCGCCCCCTCCCTGAAACATGGATGGACAGCTGCCACCCGTAGTCCCGTGTAATTAGATGACGCGGCTCGGCCGCGTTTGTCACTGTCAAAAAGCCTGTGGAACTGTTGATCCGTCCTGAATTTACCTCGTTCGAGAGGTAACCTCGGCAACCGTGGCCGATGGTTAACGTTCCACGAATAACGAGCGCGATGAAACGATTTTTTTCGCGAGATGATTCGGTTTGAGGATGAGATAAAAGGAAGCGAAACTGGTGGACTTTGAAGGACTTAGGCGAAAAGGAATGGATGGGAGTAAAATGTGATGCTCAATTTAATTGTGTTATCAATGGTATGATGATTGTGAATGGATAAAGTATGGAGGAAATGCGATGTGAAAGTAGAATAGGATATAGAAGAAGTCAAATAGTTAGTATCTAGATTAATAGATGCTTAGAATTTAATTTTTATTCTGTATCAATGATGACAAGTGTTTGTATAAATAGCTATTTAATTTAGATTTAGAAAGAGAATGTAAAAGTGTGATATGATAGTGTGGGATAGTATATAGAAGAAGTGTCAAACACTTAGTATCTAGAGTACTAGTATCTTATCAAATGTACCAAAGATAACAAGTTTTTAGATTAATAGTTGTTTAATTTAGATTTAGAAAGAAAATGTAAAAGTGTGATATGATAGTAGGATAGTATATAGAAGAAGTGTCAAACACTTAGTATTTAGAGTACTAGTATCTTATCAAGTGTACCAAAGATAACAAGTTTTTAGATTAATAGTTGTTTAATTTAGATTTAGAAAGAGAATGTAGAAGTGTGATGTGATAGTGGGATAGAATATAGAAGAAGTGTCAAACACTTAGTATCTAGAGTATTAGTATCTTATCAAGTAAAAATGTGATATGATATGGAATAAAATATAGAATTGTCAGACACTTAGTATCTAGACTACTAGTATCTTATCAAGTGTATCAATGATAACAAGTTTCTAGATTAACTGTTTAATTTAGATTTAGAAAGAAAATATAGAAATAATATGAAATGTCAGAAACTTAGTATTAAAATTAATAGATTGGAACTTAATTTTTATCTTATTTATCTGTACCAGCAGAAAGATAAGATAGGTGTCTGGATTAATAGCTGTTCAGTCTAGATTCAGAAAAAGAATGTAAAAATGTTAGACACTTAGTATCTAGATTAATAGGTACTTAGTTTACGAGGAATGTATATTAATACGTATTACAACTTAATTTTTATCTTATCGAGTGTATCAGTGATGAGCAGAAAAAATAAACGAGTATCTGGATTAATAGTTGTTTGATTTAAATTTAGAAAAAGAACGTGAAAAGCGCGATATGATAATAAAAGGATAGAAGAAATATAAAAGCATAGAAGAAATGTAGTGGGTGATGAAGAAAGTAAAATATGCGTACATATGGAAAAGTTTATTTTTATTATTAACGAAATATCCATTTGCATTATATCCTCGACGTACGTGTGTATCGATAAGGTGACCAATCTCAATTCCAAGCTTGCTGATTGAAAATGGGTCGCGTGACAATAACGGAGAGTCAAATTGGTCGTAACTAAATTCGAAATCAATCATCCTGATTTCAGCCTGTCCTGAATCTCGGCCAGAGTGGATGGAACTGGCCGGTGGGGGTGCGGTGTGCTATGCCCCGTCACGTCTGGGTAAACTCGTGCTGCGTATCACTGGATTTCCAAGGGTCACTCACCAGTGTCATCAGAGTCAACAACAGGAGGACAGTCACCATCGCGAGACGAGACACTTATATCTTGGCTTTCACCACCCCTGGGACAGAGACTTGTGGAAAAGTTGGATTAAACAGGTAAGTCAAACACACAACGGTATCTCCACTACTACTGAGCAAACTTTGTTTCTACACGATGATGACCATTCTCGTGGAATTTTCCTTTCTTATATTTTTTTTTATCCTATTTTATTTATTTTTTTTTTTATTTTTTACTTTTCTATATTTCTTTTTTCGTTACGTTTTGCGATTAAGGGGAGAAAAATCCACCGGAAGAGAAGATAAGAATAAAAATATTTCCTTTGAAATTTCGTATAGTCAGCAGGGATAAATCCATCGAGATGAATTATGGAATTCCTGGTACGATTTAATGCCCGAGACGACCATCTTCTTTGATTGACCAATATTCGTTGCGCAATTTTAGAAAAAATTTACCCCAAAACATTCCATTTTCTTCGTTTCAAATTTTCCAAAAAATTGTTATTCCTCCTTATTTTATCGTACACATATAACCACCCATCACGAGGGACGAGGGAAAAATCCTTGTAAAACGGAGAAACGGAGATTTCAATCTCGAAACTCCTCCTCTCTCTCTCTCTCTCTCTCTCTCTCCTTCCACGAAATTTCAACGTCTCGGTGGCGTCGTTGGTGTTTCTCCGCGCAACGAGCAAACCACAACAACAATAATAACAAGGAACAGCCACGATAAATATTTATTATTTTTAGAGATTATTCGAACGGTGGCCAATTACATTCTGTCCCATTTTCGTTCCTTCCGAGAGAGAAGAATCGAAAGTGTGTAATATCCTTGGGCGAGCGTTAAAAATTAGATTGGAGATTAAATTGGCCGCGACCGAATGGCTTCCCTTCCGGGATGCTTCCTTTGTGATCGCGCCCTTAATTGAAATTGGCAACTCGTTTAATCCCCCCTCCGCGACGAATCGGTTGAAACGCGATTCCAACGATTAAACTCTTGCGCGTTTTTCGCAAGACCATCTCCTCCGTGGAGTTTTAACCCCCCGATAATTAGAATTAATCCTTCGAGGAGATGAATATCGGCGGGGAGAGTTAATGATCAATCGTACGAGGAGGAGATCACTTTGAATGACGAGCGAGCAAATTTTCGTTGATATTAATATTCTTTTATTCTGGAAAAATAAATTGTTTACGAGTCGATAATTAATTTTCTTCTTTTTTTAAGTTTAATATGTATTTTGGAGAGCAAGTTGAGAAATTGATTATTCGAGTGAATAAAAGGAAGGAGGAGAGGTAATAATGATATTTTAATTAATGATTTTTATTTTTAGCATATTGTTTGTTTTCAATTGTCGTTGATCGTCTCTTTAATCGAGCAATTATGATTATGCATTTTTATTTTATTTGTGTTTTAACATTATCCTCCGAGTCCTTCAGGTCTGTGTGTATGCAGGATGCATAAATATGCAGTTTATTTTACGATACATTGAATCGTATAACGAATAAAGCAAATGTATTTTCAATTCGCGTCACATTTACAACTCGTTGCGTTTAATGAAAAGACAGAATTTTACCAAGAAATCGTGTTATATCGAGAGAGGGGGAAAAAAGGAATTTGCAAAGTTACCGCTCCATTTAAAATTATCGCATCGTTTAAAATTAAATTAAGCAAAAAATTAATTATTAACGTATCCAATAATATTCGTAATATTAATAAAAAGACAAATAAAAAGTTTATCTCTTGTTAAATCGTAAGAAAAGTACATTTTCTTGATCTCTGTATTGACCAACTAGCAAATTGATCCATAAATTAAAATAATTTTCGAATCAACGTACAAAAATACTTCCTCGTTTCTTAATTTTTCTTCGATAATTAAATTTAAAATCGAATTATCAAAATAATTCGTTAGGAAAAATGTATTCCAAACCTCGTCAATTTGCTCCTCCGTTCCATCAACTTCTTTCGATATTAAATTCACGAGGGAAAAAGTTAATCGTATTATCAATCATAAACAATTTACTTCGTTGAACCCAGCCCAATCTATCTTTCACTTTTGCTCCGCGCAAACTCGCGAGAAAAAATTCATCCTCGATCTCATTCTCGCTCGACAATCGACTTATAAATCCAAATTAATATCGATAACATCCCCTCATTCCATCGACTTCCTCCAATATTCGTTAAAAATATTAAATTTAAAAAAAAAGAAGAAAATTAATAATCGACACTCGTAAACAATTTAAAATCTCCTTTATTCCTCGCGAAATATAAGAAAATTCCTCCTCCGCAAATCAAATCGACCTTGTTCCTTCGACAGCCCGGTCCAACTCCATTCATCTCCAAGTGGCGTAAAATCGACGGGGGGGGTCACAATAAAGCGGTCATTTCGAGCGTGGGCCATCGTGACGGTGCAATATTCATGGCGTGGCACGTGGTGTCCCCCTTTAAAATCGAGAATTCAACGGCAGCGCGACGAATTCAATAAAATGAACCGAGGGAGCAAAGAAGTCGAATGGCCGCCAGTATCGAAGGGGATCGATGCCTTTGCATTTTTCCATCGGTGGATCGTTATCCAAACTCGGCGTGGGGAGAATTCGTCCGATATTTGTTCGAACGCCGGTCACAGATCTGACTTATGGAAACTTATATCACTGGAAACCATTGACCTGAACTCTCTCTCTCTCTCTCTTTTTTCTTTCTCTCTCTCTGCTCGAGATCGAGTTTTTCTTAAAAAGATACGCCCGTCGTCGAGGCTGCATTCACGACCCATAGACCCTGGCTGTGGAAATAAAGAAAGCGAGGGGGGCGCTCGATAAACGGGACGCTCTGGAATTCAATCGGCGTCGTCCGCTCGATATTTCATATTTCTGGGATATTAGCAGGGCGGGAAACTCGGTTGAGAGTAGTTTATACGTGATGACGATGATGATGATGGAATAGGAGGATCGAGGAAAGTGGAGATCCTTCGAGGGAAAGGATAAGAAGATCTGGAGAAGTGGAATTTTGATTAGGTGTTTTTCGTTATTACGGATGGATAAGTATTCCGGGTTCGAGAAAGGAAAGTCTGAGAGATAAAGCCTTAAGAGAGCAAGTAATAGTGCGCGTTTTTAAAGAAAGTGTGAAAGTATGAAATATTGAAACGTGTAAAAAGTGTCCTCTTTTAGGAAGGAATAATTGAGATTTAAACTTTTGAGGAAAAGTTTAAAGGAGAATCTGAGAAAAAGGAATTTTGATTGATCTTGAAGTGATCTTATTTTATTAGGGATTATTAATGTAGATTGTTAATATAGATTTGAGATTTTTGAGTGAAAACTTAATTTAATCTAATATTTGGATATAATATAAAAGATGAAATATCAAATGAATTGAGCAAGTAAAAAATTCTTCTTTTAAAAAGCAATTATTGAGAGTTAAACTTTTGAGAAAAAGGAATCATTAATGTAGATTGTTAATATAGATTTGAGATTTTTGAGTGAAAACTTCATTTAATCTAACATTTGGATATAATATAAAAGATGAAATATCAAATGAACTGAGCAAGTAAAAAGTTCTTATTTTAAAAAGCAATTATTGAAAGTTAAATTTTTGAGAAAAAGGAATCATTAATGTAGATTATTAAATTTGAGATTTTTCAATGAAAACTTAACCTAACATTTAGATTATTATTAGTATCTTATGATAATATATAATTTTTTTAAAAGGAAAACTATAAAAATATGAAGAATAGATTACACGTTTAACCAAAAATTTTACATCTGCGCAAATCAAATCACAAATCGTTTTATAAATCTTCCATTACAAAAAGTTTATTCCATGTAGATTGTTAATATAGATTTGAGATTTTTGAGTGAAAACTTCATTTAATCTAACATTTGGATATAATATAAAAGATGAAATATCAAATGAACTGAGCAAGTAAAAAGTTCTTCTTTTAAAAAGCAATTATCGAGAGTTAAACTTTTGAGAAAAAGGAATCATTAATGTAGATTATTAAATTTGAGGTTTTTCAATGAAAACTTAACCTAACATTTAGATTATTATTAGTATCTTATGATAATATATAATTTTTTTAAAAAGGAAAACTTTAAAAATATGAAGAATAGATATCCATGATATCATCGAATATATAAAATTCCCAGATTCAATAATCCCTATATACAGAATTATAGACAGAGGAACATGGACAAAGAGCTCGATGAGAGAAAGAGAGAAAAATTCGCGTGAACAAGAAACGATAGGAGATAACAGAGGTAATATCGTTACGAGATATCGATCTGGTAATGAATCAGAAAGGTGCACGGTCCATTCTCAAATGAGGCCAAACACGTGCATCCACCGCCGCGTTTTGATGCAGGTTAATCGAATCGCCCGCCAATAATGGAGAAATGGCGGCGCTGCCTGCGTGTTCCCATTGGCCTGTAAGGTATTGTGCGCGTTAATTCACGGGGACCAATTCGATTTGCCCGCCCCGACATCCGAAATTCTACCATAAACGTGCACGATTGATGATTGTACAGGATACGAACGGAGTTTCGCAGTGGAAATCCCTCCGGGAGTTCGAATTCTGCTTGTAGAACAGTTGTAAATCGTGAGGAGGAATGTAATTAGGACAAAACGATTAAGACTTGAATTAGATAATTTACTTGCTATTCTTCGCTCTTTTTCTTTTTTTTTTTTTTGAGATAAATTGAAAAATAAATGGAATGGAATTGGTGGAAGAGTAAAGGATTGAACTAGATAATTTGAAAGAAAGTAAAATAGAATATTAGGAATTTTGGAGCGAGTTAAGAATAAATATATTTATATAATAGTATGCAATGATAAAAATTGAAAATAATGTTGGAATATTTTTATATTTTTCAAAAAGAAGGACATGGAAGGTACAAAGTTTTTCTTTCATAATCTTTCCGTCGTATTAGTCAAGAACAAAAGATCAAATAAGAGAAAATGATGGAATATAACCTGTTATTCAATGAAATATTAGTTATTGTCAGGAATATCGCAGAACTATCGATTGCATTTGAAATTACGCACTGCGTTATTACGTAAAATTACGAGTATTGTCTCGAATAAGAGACACTGCGCGAGGAAAGGTAATAATCTT